CTCTACGTTGCCTGCTTCGCGAAATCGTTTCCCGCCAATATATTTCTTTGCGGATCCAGTACGCGGGGTCTAGGCGCGTATGGGGAAAGATCTTAAAACGACACACAGGGTAGGAACACATATCCAAAGTTCCAGTCTCCCAGCTTTCCTAGTTGCTCAGATGAAAGTGGGTGACAAAATGCACTCGCTTTCCGAACACACACACACACTACACACATACACACACACAAACAGCCTCTCGACAATATGCATTTTTCTGGCTGTAGCAGCGCTATAGAGTACAGCAAAAACGCATAAAAATGTATTACCTTTTGATCACAGTAGCCAATGGATGAAGACATTACAATCGATTTGCTCTGGATCCTAGGTTTAATCCAGTTTAGTTGAACATATCATTCACCGCTTCTTAAGCCAAACACTAGCTGTCGAACTGTATTGCTAGTAATGATTAATCCCCAGGGGCTCACCAAGCACATCAGATCGGTGCCTAATGCCCTGAAACGCAAAATTAGTTGGAATCAATAGCCATTTTGATACCGCTATATGCTTTTTTCGAGCGTAAGAACTCCCTTCAAATTCGTATTCACTCTGTGCGAAAGATGAAGATATTCGAGAAATAACAGGCTATTTCTGGTTGCAAACGTCGACGACAATCACTGAAGTCAATGGCTTTCTCTTTCGGGGGTTGCTTACAAGCAAGGTGATGGCGGTTTCGACCCTCTGATTTGTGCTAACGTTAATTTATCCTCAAAACGAATGGAGGAGTCTTTGACGGATTATTTGTGCCATTCGTAAAATCGAATCGTCGACTCAGTAAGTTTTTTGGGCGGATGCCCTGACGAATATCCTTTTATTCATTAGCGGGGACTTTTTCAAATAAAAAATCAAAAAATTATGGAACATTTACAGCTGTTAAATGGTGCTCCTCGGAACAAAGGGAAGGTCGCCATGGGGTGGAAGGATCCATTTTAATGCCGAATGGAGTATATTAGAGGAAAGGAGCCCAAAATGGGGAAGAATGACGAAGTTGCTAGTTGTACCTCAGTGGTGAGTGGAAGTGAAACGATGAAGCAACGCTGATCAAAATATTTCTTGATTTGCAAGTAAAAATAGACGTGGCTAACCATATCTCTTTGACAACGGTTGAGCCGTGTTGTTCAGCAAAAACAGAAAGCATTATTGATATGATACAGTTAAGGACGAATACGACGAATTCGATCAACGAGAAGCACAGTAAGCGCATCTCCAGGCAACGATCCTTTTGCCCACGCGATAGCTGAAGAAATCGTGTTATGTTTGAATTAAGATCCGTTTTCTTGTTTAAGCATCCAAGAAAACAATTCAAAATTTAAACGATTTCATTTGCATGTAGAAATACGGTTTCATTTGCATGTAGAAATACTGTGCGTAGCTCATTTTCTAATAACTTTTGCATGTATCGCACTGCTGGAGCAGCAAACGATGAATATAAATCGCACTGAAGAAAGGAACGAACAGGTAAGAAACCCGTTAAAATTTGTGAGATGCTACCACTCCAGAAAATTTACAGTGAATCTCTTTCTTCAGTAAACTAACACTATTTAATATATCTCTTTCTTCAGTAAACTAACACTATTTAATATAACTTAATATAACTGAAGAGGATAAAAATAAACGGTGCCAAATCGGCCTAGGACATGAGGCGCAGATGAACTTGGTTTGTTGCCTTAGGCTGTTTGTTACAACCAATAAATCTCCTCGGTAATTCTGATGCGAATTTTCGACCATTTTTCTCCAATATTTTCAACTAAATTTACATAAATGTATCATCTTACATTCAAATTGCGCCTGCTTCGTTTCAATCGTTGTGTTGTCAAAATGTACAGATATGCAGCGAGTGATAAACTCGCTACAGTCACAGACAGAGTAACGTGATACGCCGAAGCCTTCTGCAACATTAACACTGCTTGCCTGTGTGTAAATTCTGGAAAAAGAAGAAATTTTTCGGAAGGGTTTTTAAAAAGTCACCAAGGGTATTTCCCTTGACGGAATCACTATTTTACGCTTTCGTTTCCGGTAAATATTGCCAAATAAGGAAGCAAAAGGAATGGAAATCATTTTAGTAAAAACACTGTTTTATTTACTGTAGGTCACTTCTTCGAACAAAATTGATTGGGAAGCAATTTGTTTGGAGTTAAATTAATTGTTAATTAGTTGAGAAGTAAGCCAGAAAATTGATGGTTACTTCACTATAGGCTAAATTTGCTCGCCACTAACTCCAGTTTTTTTATGGTTAACTTCAAGCCGCAGATGTCGTAAGTGAATTTAAATGATACCATAAGCCATCATACTATCATATCACTAAGAACCATAAACTGCATAAAATTAATTTATAAAAAAAGTATGCAAATGTCCCAATATTACCAACTTGTGTGATGGCAAGTGGCTGCGAAATAAGCATGAGATTGGTGTTGATGAAGACAAACGATATGGTAGCACTGTTGTTTAAGTACAAACATGCTCCGACTACAAACGGTGAGACTTGTATCAGTATGCAAATTATCAGATGCCAATCTTTCCAACACTGCTGCAACAGTCTTCCGTTATGGCAGTTCGAGAAATATTTTGAGCCAGGTACAACCAGCATATTTTTGCATAAATTCGGTAAAGGCGGCTTCTCAAAGAATTTGAAGTAGATGCCAAAGCAGCGGGTGTAGAGTTAAATCCAGTCCAAAGGTACACCATTAGATTCTAATCAATGCTGTCTTGCAGCTCCCATGAAAATAGCTAGAAACTGTAAAATTTCAAAGCTTTAACTCGCTGCTAAGTGCAAAGCAATTGATCCAACTGAACCT